CACACAGACACACACACACTTCAACATAGTCATAAATTAGGGCAGGTAGACAGAGACAAGCAGAGGCTCCACTGTCTATTACAGGCTTGTTAACAGAACCGAAAGGTTTACATGGAAGTTGTCTGTGCTGACAGGTGATCACATCAGCAGACACAGAAAGAAAACCACACAGACAAACATGGGAAGCACAGAGCAATAAGTAAATAATGTAGTAAATAATCAGCAGACTATCAAAAGTTATGTCCGGTCTAAGGAAGTCTGGATCTTCATTGAAAAATAGTTTACTACTTGGAACAAGTGCCATCATCTTACTTGCAAATTAATACAACCGCAGGTATGAGATTGACATTTTCACAGTTGATTGTGTTTACAGTTGAAGCAGAATCTCCCCTGCCAAGCTCCATTAGGACTTATTTATGTAATTTAATTAGACATGCTCTGCTTCACCCTGAGGGCTAATGTCCTCATCTAGCCAGTTAAGCTGCTAACGTTAGCGGTAGCCACAGCTCGCTCATTGATTGCCACTAGCTCTTCTATCTGACTGGTAGCATCCAAAATAAAACACTATGAAAGTGTGTGCGCCTCATTGGTATAAACTGATTGATGATAGAAGTCCTAATATTTATAAGAATAATGATTATGAAAATATAGAAAATATACTTTAAAACACACCAACGCAACAATATTTTCATATTAGCCCCTTAGTACACTATAATCTTTTATGCTTGCTTTACAATGTTGGGTGCCTAATATCATACAACTCTAATATGTTCAAACAGTACACTGTAATTTTTAGCCCCGCGCCATTGAAAAATATCAATTATGGCAATTAAGGTTAAATACAGCTTTTAGTATAAATTGTGTATTTTCTTGTTCTTGAACAGAAGAGCACATGGTATTGTTTTGTATTTAAATGATAGCTGATGTGGGGTAAGGTAATATGTATAGTTGTACAATAGTTAATAGAAAAATCACATATGATTTAGTCATAGCAGAAATAATGGATCGTTTGGGAATTGTGAGGCTGATGAAAATACAATAGAAATGGATACTGGACTTCTGGCAATAATTTGCCAATTAATCTCGCTAGCGACAAATCTTACTTGAATTCAGCGTTACATAAAATATGTCTTTACCTCTCATTTAAAGATAAATGTGATTAAATTGGAAATCTGTTGAATGATTATGTCTACTTTCCAAGAGTTCTATCATCAAAGTAGTCCATGTCTAATATCCTCTTACCGATATATTGTAGTGGATTGATTTTTAACAGCTCAGGGTTCATTTCTTCAGCCTATTCAGAAGCATAACTTGATTGTTTCAAAATGAACATTGTAACCAATTCACTTCTGGGAAAGACATTAATGTGCTACATCCTTACATAGAAGGTATGCAATTTTACTGTAGAGAGGAATGGAAGGAAAGTACATTTTGTGCAGCTATAAATTTCTGGAATTATGTAACTGTACTCACTGAGCCTGGGAGAAAATATCAGAGAGGACTGAGAATATTGTGCTTTCAGTACAGTACATTCCTATTGAGTCTGTAGCATCCTAGTTAGCTGCTTCGTAGGAAATCCTAATTTCTTGTGTGAAAAAAAGTCTTATATTTCAAGAGGAGAAGTTGTATGATGTTGGAGAAATGCATCTTAACTACATCAGCTGCACATGGGCCTTTATTGTCCAGTTGCATTGTGTGTAATGATCTACACATGCACCTCTGACCGCAATGACGTTTCTCACCTTGTAAAGTCCAAAGAAGCCTAGGTCCCTGATGACAGACAGGGCACTGACCCGTGGCCCTGTGGTGATCTCTCCCGCCACCTGCAGACGGATCTTTACAATCTCCAGAGGGTTGGTGAAGATCACCTGGGAGCCACCAGCCTGGAGGGACAGAAAGGCAAAGAGAAATCGATACAGTGAACTTCAAGAAGAGAGAAATGGATTGGTCTTAAATATAACGGCTGTCTGTCTATGTCTAATATGAGATTTCGAGTGTCCACTAAAGACAAAGTGGTCACTTAACACCACGCACTGATTGAGAATATAATAATATAATACAATCAAGACTGAAAAATGTAACTACAATCTTGCTCGTGCGCAATTGCAGAAAGTGATGCCTCAGCAACCAGCTGCAAAACAAACATGTGAAAGGAGGAGAGTACAGGAGAGTACCGGGAAATCCAGCTGATGCAGTCGAGTCTGTCAGCTGTTTGTCTTCATCACACAGACCCTGCGGGGACTCTGACTTCTCTTTTTCTCCCTAACCTCTCACTTCACACCATTCTCCAAACCTGTACTTGTGAAGGGAGGGCAACAATACTGCAGCAAGTTGGGACTGGTCTCTGTGCCTTTCAGGTCGGCAGGGCTTTTAAGTGTAAGAGGTAGCTGCTGTGGTGGAGCTGCGGCAAGACAAATGGTTAACTGTGTCTAGTCAGGGAACATGACCGCATTTCCAGAGTGCTTCTTGATACTGAGAAATGTTTACGCCGTATTTAGAAAGTGGGCTTTTTCTGACTTCTGTGTCTTCCATTTTCCCTTTTCCTTGAATTGTTTCTGTCACTCTCTTCCTTTCAGTCTCTTTTCCAGTATTGTCTCTCTCCCCTTTCTTGCTTTGACCTCCTCTCAAACGATCTCTCTCATCTTCTCTAATATTGTCTCCCTCTCGCTACGGTTGCCAGTGGTTACTGTAGCTACACGCAAAAGGGCGGCACATCGCAATTAGATAGCAATCGGTTGCCATGGCGCCGTTTCTGTCTTAAATAGGCCTAGTCTGTTTGTTGTTGTTTCTCTTCTTGTCTCCCCCTCCTTCGTTCGCTTCGTTATGAATGATGGATTGTGCTTGTCGCCTCTTGCCTTACGGGAAAGCATGAAGCTCCAATCTGCAACATGAGCTTTTTTTTTGTGCTAAATGTTCCTCAGTTTTAAGTGTTACCATATATTGCCTAAGAGAAGAGAGGGAGGAGGGAGAGACAGAGATCATAATAGTCTCATTGAAGGTGTGTGCAGCAGCTTTTTAAATAAGTATAGTAGGCTACAGCTTCCCTTCCAGACCCAATGAGAGGCTGTGAATAGCAGGAGGGCTGCTGCTCTGAAGCTGCTACATCTCACAGCTAACTCTTTATGACTTGTTTTATGGAAATAACCTAGTTGATTACATGCTGGCTAATAGCGCGAGCATTAAGAGGCTATTGGCTCCGGCCCCTAGCAGTGTTGGCTGCTTCAATTGGATACTAATGAGACTGGAGATGGAGGAGATTGAGATGTTGTTTATTCAAGGAGAGTAAACAACAACATTGTTCAGAGAGACGAGCTGACAATTAGACCTGACAACATGAGATAAAAGGAAAGACAATGCGGAGCTTTCGGGCGTGATTCGCTATCCCACATTCCTACTTAAATGTGGAAAATCACTCAAAAAACTCTGAACACCCTGGACAGAGGGGGGAGATGAATAGGAAAGAGAGAATCGGACAAATAAACAGAGTGAGCTAATGAGAGAGAGAAGGATGGTGAGACAGAAACAGAGAGAGAGGAGTAGTCAAAACAAGAGAAGTGAGGGAAGGTCGAGGTGGAGGCAGAGAGGTTGAGGGTGGTGATTATGGAGTGACAGCGTCGGCGGCTCTCTCATGATTCCCAGGTAATTACAAGGCAAGGTGATCCTTAGAAACCTGGGACGTCAGCACCTTATGCACGCATCACAGCTCCTGGCTACGTGTGTGCTGCAGAGAGAGCTTAGTAAAGTTTGAGGAAGCCCCCACCCCCGTCCTACCCCAACCACTGACTTATGTTCATACAACAGATTAGCAGCCACTGAAAACATTAGCCGCTATCCATAAATAACAATCACACTTTCATTTGTACTTAACACTCTTCATGCTACATGTGCAGGTCTATGGGTGTGTGTGTATTAGATTCTCTGATAATGTTTTCATAACTCACATCAGGCCTGAGTAAGAAACCCATTACAAAACCCAACCATGCAAACTGTGATACATTCACAGTGAATGCGAACAAAGTATTACTGTATTTTGTCTCTCAGTCTTAGCCCGCTCCTCCTCTCAGCAATGACCCAGTAACTATTTTGTGTAACTTAAGTCCTAAAATGCAGGCCAGTAACTGCCAGATAAGCATCCAGCCAGCTCAGTCAACGGAGCATGCCATTCTTACCAAATAATCATTAGGAACTGGCAACCCGCACTGGAGCTTAATGGTGCTGAGCCACAGGGTTTAGAGAGGGAGAAAGGAGGGAGCAAGAGGAGGAGGTGAAGAGAGGAAAAGGGTAGGTGAGAAGAGGAAAGGAACATATTTCAGCGGGATAGGAAAAGCAAGAAAACATGAGGTAAAACGGCACATTAGAGGAGATAAAGAGGTTGCCTGGAGATAAGTTTAGGATGCAGAAAGTGAACATAAAACATGACCATTCATCTGTTCTCTCCATCTTTTTGTCTCTTACTTTATAGACTGTGGACCTGAGGCTGACACTGTGGTCCAAACCAACACTTTCACAGCTACCAAATGATATAAACAGATTTCATGTGCTGTGGCTGGAGCCTCACTAAAAAAAGGGTTCAGGAGTGTTCGACTTCTCTGTGTGTGTGTGTGTGTGTGTGTGTAAGATAAAGTGGCAGGCAGAGTGCAGTGCCAGCACTAACACCGGGGCCTCAGCCAGGATGAAAGGAGCTGTCACGACGGCTCACAGAGGAAAAGAGGAAAAATCCATCCGTCCTCGCTCGTCTCCTCTACATTTATCCTCTCCTCTCCCCATGCATCTGTTATGGTTCTGCTTCTCAATCCATATGGGTTGTATAAAAAGGGCAACCGCTACTTTTCACACCCAGTACAGTGTAGAACATTTCTTCAGTACATTTGCTTTCCTGTAGTTACTATACTTTTTTTTTTTCCGTTTCTGTCAAAATCGCTATCCAAAACTGAATGCTACATTTAAGTTACAGCAAATGTAGCGTGATAAAACATTTCTTAAACATATTCCTAGAACTAATCAGGTCAATTGAATGTGCCTGAGTGGAGCTAAACCCATAATGACTTGTGTATCCTGAAATACTTTGCTTTAGTGATCAGCATCAAAAGAGGGTTGAGTGAAAGACCTTCTTTCATTTGCTCGGGCTAAAGCTGCCGGCCTTGGTGGACTCACAGTGTGTGTGTGTGTGTGTGTGTTGGGGGTAGACTGTGACAGCTCAGTGATCAAAACCTATGATGGGAGGGGAGCAGGTAACAGACTGGTGGTGGTGGTGGTGGGGGGGGGTCTCAGGTAGCAGCCGCTGTCAATCTCGTCCCCGTAAGTGTGTATGGGGGTGTCCGTGCACCAGTATGCTCTTCTGTTTGTCATGTATGCACACACTCCTGCGAGCGTGAACACTATGCACGTTTGCGCTTTCATGTGTGATGGTTCCACGTTCCATCAACAAACAGTGACTTCTGGCGTCCAAACAGGTCCGTGTCTGTCTGCTCAACTGTCAGAAGGGGCGGCACCCAGAAAACAGGTAAACATAGTTAAGAGATGTATGCTGCCTTAGTACTGTATACACTGTCTGTGCACTGTACAGCATCATTTCAGCACAGTGCACTCTGAGGAGGCAGGATGATGAGAGAGGCTCCATGTTTCGGCTTTTATGGAAAAAAAAGTGAACACTGAAACATGTAATGTTGACTGCACTTGCAAAAAGGCTGAATATTTGTGGCCATATTTACACTGACAACACTCTCAGAACTCAGAGCAGAGATTTGGGACAAGAACTGAGAGGAACCTTTACCTTGGTGAAGAGGTGGGACTGTTAGGTATGATTAGACACTGTCATTTGATCAAGAAACATTCTCAGCACTGCTGTTTCAGTCGTTTAGAATTCAGGTATAGAACCAGACACCATAATTACATACTGTATAGTCTAGTGTCTGGTATGGTTTACTTTCAAATATAAAAATCCCCCTGTAATAAATACTGAAATTAACCAAATGCTTTTGACAAAGTGATTTAAAAACATTTCGGCATTGTCATATCTTGGTGAATTAAGTTTATTGTGTTTTCTTTTTTTGCAGTTACCTTTTTTTAAAAACATGTAGAACACATTTTTTTGGAGCTTTTTGCCTTCATTTGACAGAAACAGCTGAAGTGAGATAGAAAAGGGGAGCGGGAGTGGGGATGACGCAGCAAAGGGCCATGGGCTGAGATTGAACTCGAGTCACTGCTGTAAGGACTCAACCTTAGTTTACCATGTGAGCTACCGGCTTTCAGCTTACGCTTACGAAAACTTACGCTTTCAGGCCAAGCTCGCTGATGCTGTATGCAGTCATAATGTACATTTGTCAGTCACAATGTTCTTATTATCATGATATGACATGATTTTTACCACAATGCACTGCCCTAAATGAATAAACTGTTGGGTCTTTGTTAAAGTTGTTAGGATGAAATTAAATAAATGTAACACTCAATGGTGTTAAATCCAGGTCCAGGTTGTTACCACTGACCTAGGTCTCATTACGAAATGCAACAGTTGACTTACACATCCACCGGCCAGGATCTCAGCGGGCAGCGGGACTGTGCCATCTCTCTGCCGGGTCTTTCCTCGCACAAAGTCATTCACCTGTAAACACAAAGGTTATAACATCAGGCAAAGACCAAGAATTTCTAAAGCTGGTATGATGGAACACGATATGAATATACAGTCAATATTCAGTGTATGTTTTATGTAGGACCAGTAAATGTAGAAAGTTAATAGAATACATATTAATGCTATGCCTTGCTACTGACAATGTTTTGTTGTTTTAATTCACAACTGGAATTCATAACTTTACATCTGTGGCATGCAGCATTAATCAGCAAATATTTACAATACGACAACAGTAATGCTGCTGTTTGTATAACAAATATTAAGTGCTGTAAATATATATACATATTTGTTTATTAAGAGGCCTGATTGACAGTTAACAGATGCAGGAATACAGGAAGGTAGATTATCTATTTGTATATTATTATGCAGCATCACATAATGGACTGAAAAAGACTGAAGCGATGGAAGAACGTTGTGGATCTCTGTCTGTGTGAGTGTGCATGCATGCGTCTATGCACTTTCTAACACAGTGACTTACTGTGAGCTTTATGGCTTTCTCGGGTGCCACACCCAGTAGCTGTGGTACAAGACCTATCATTAGAAAACGACGAGATGATTAGAAAAAAAAAGCGTGCTGTGGTACCCCTACTCACTCACACACATACACATATATGCATATACATATCCCACTTCCACACACTCCACATGATGTGTGGCTTCCCGCTGCATGCGTCCGACCCTGCAAGATCCCCCAGACGCTAATGAAATCTATTGATGTGGAGTGTGGGGACATCAGAGTAGCAACAAGAGAGAGAGAGAGAGAGGAAGAAAGGGGTAAAGAGAGGATGAAGAGAGGAGCTGCTTCCCAGAATAGGAAAAAAGGGCAGAGTATAAAACAAACCAACCAAAAGTTTATGCAGACCTCAATTACAACCCAGAGCAGGATAAAAATAAACAAAATAATCACAACAGAGCACAATGAAACTTGGCCCCCTACCCAGCCCCAAGGCAAGAACCACACACACACACACACATACACCACACACACCAACCACACGCACACAGTTCCTCAAAGAAACACAGTTAATCTACAGTAGTTTGTGTGTAACGAGGCCACACACACGCACACACATAATCATATACTCAATTTGGAACTTGGCAAAACGGCCTTGACCTCATAAAAAAAAAGCAAAACCCAAATCATTTTTGAAATATTTTTTCCAAATGTTGACATATGTGCATACAATATATATGCATACACACAAAAGAAGGACATAGGAAAATACAATAATAATTTATTTTGGTAAAATCACGTTTCTCTCGTGCTGTTTTGATTATGAGAGATCAAACTAAATTAGTAATTTTGCCAATTTTGCAATGCTGATTCCACATTCTTCACTCAACAGATTTTCCCGAGGTTTTCAGTGAAGGCACTTTCAACTTATATTATGTAACTAGAATTTGGTTGTCAGAATAGCTGTCTGGCCATCTATCTGGAGCCAGACCTGTCTGTCTCTGTGTCTGTGAAGCCATTCCACTCTTGATGTTCTTTGTGTTTCCCACAGAAATTCAAGCATTCAAGTTTCGTCTCAGGAGCCCAGTGCTGTCAATCAAAATCATGGCATTTTAAAAAGGCCCCCGCCACCGTTCCAGGGGACCTTTTTTTCAATCTGACCCTAACAATACCGACACAGACACCCTAACCTCTGTTTCTGAAGACAGGGCAGGTAGTCATTAGGGATGTCGTGCCCTGATATGTGCGTACCTGCATGCGCAAGAAGTCGGCTGCATGTTCGTGTGTGCATGCCTTCATACCTGCGCGACTGCTCAGTGTCTGTGTATGTGTTTCTATGAGTGTGGTAGTACAGACATGCGACATCACCACATCGTGACACAGGCCTAAAAGGTATGTGGCCTTGCGTGTGACGTTCATTGTCCTGCTCTGAAAGTCCCCAGCCAGCCGGTAATCACTTCAAAGGAGACAGGTCAACAGAGAGGTGAACTCACACCGCCCTCCGTCCACCCTACACTTTTCTTCTTCTCTCGTCTCCTCTTCCTTCTCTTCCCTTTTATTGTCCCTACTACTCGCTTCCTATTTCTTGTCTCGACCCTTTTTTCCCCTCCAAAACCTTTTTTTTTGTGTATTTGACTGTCAATGAGTTGTTTTTCCTGAAAACTGTCTGTAAACACAAATTTGTCCAGTTTATTTCAGTTCTGACTTAATAACATGTATGTTAACGCTACGTTGGTACATTGCTCTCTGGCACTACCATGGTAACCACCATGAAGTTGGAAATACTGTTGTTCAACTGTTTTCTACTTGTGAAAAGAAAGATCTAGAAAGCTGAGTAAACTGGCTGTATTAGAAAATGTATCATTCAGGTTAGGCATTCAATAAGGTGGAACTTTATCGCAAGTGGGAGCAATATCATGCTTATATGGATAGGGGTTAATAGGGTTGGATCGTCATAAGGCCAATACAACTTAAAGAACTGACTTTGACTTACCATTACTACTACATACTGTTTTTTTTTACTTTTTCTGTAGTTCATTTTATATTCTTAGTTATTTTGATTATTTTGTATGCATTTGCGTAAAGTATTGCCACTTCTCGTCGGACACGCCTATTTATTTTATTCATCCATTTACTGTTTTATATGGCTACACCTATACATGCAGTTTAATTGTCTTTTGTTTGTTCAGGTCTATTGTTGTCATCAGTTTCTGAAACTCAAATAAAATATAAAGGAAAATATAAAAGACCAACACATATTATAAGCTATAATCAATGCAGGATAAGTCCTCAAAGATAGTATAAACTTCAGCTGTACAGTTTAGAAACACTTATTTGCAGAACTAACGCTATGTAGATATTTGACAGTACACATTTAAAAATGTTGAGGTTGAAATTTGTATTCATACATACTGACCTCGGTAAAGGCCAAAGAAGCCCTCGTAGCGCACCACCTTCTTGAAGCAGTCGAAGCTGCTCTTGTACATGAGCTCTCCCACCAGGGAGCCACTGCTCCTCTGGTTTTGCATACGTGTCTTCACCAGATCAATGGGGTACACTGCTGTAGCACCCACAGCTACAGAGAATTAAAAAAAAAGGTTATTTAGATACCGGTCACATATTATGAGGGTAGTGTTTGTTTATTTCAATACACATATTCACTTAAGTAGTTTAGTGTTATGACCAAGGCACCACTGTCCTTCCCTTTTCTTAACCAGCATCTGCATCCCACTCTATGCCCACAGTACATTTTGTGTTTTGCAAGTGAAGAAAACAGTATTAAAAACGTTTCAAAGCACCGAAAAGATAGATGAGACGAAGTATAGAGAAGATAGTGTTGTTAGGGTCATATGATATTGAGTGGTCTAGGCATGTCTTAAGAGTCACGTACAAATATTCTGGTTTGACTTAAAAACTGTAGTGCCTTAATCTTAATGAATCTAACAAGATTTTTTTAATTTATTGGTATATTTTAGCTAGGCAGTTTATACAGATTAGGTAATGTTAGGAAAATTCTCTCACTCCAAAAGCGGAAAAAGCTCAAAAAAGCCTGACAATAACATTACCTACTGTTTATTATTCTCTCCTCCATCTCTATGACATTATGTCAAACCATTCTCTCTTTATTTCTGTCACTGCTGTTGTGAAATTCTTCTTTTTACTCTTTAGAAACATTTGTGTGGATGAAACAAATCTCACAACCACACACCCTCTCATGAACAGGGGGCATTCATCAGGTTGAAACCAGCAATTTATGAAAAGCACAAGATTGTGCCGTTAAGACAGTTTGGCAATGCAAAGTGGAGCTCTCGTACGAAGAAACCTCACAGAAAGAAGTCAGAGAAGGAATATGAATAATCAACTGCAAACAAAATTCCATTCACCTCCATTATATTGTGATGGAAACCTAAACTACCTGCTTTGTTAAAGAGAGATAGGTAAGACAGGAGATAGATGAGAAAATATGTCTTTGTAATTCGGCTAAACTGACCCTTTAAGAGGAAGAAGAGGAAAAGGCGGAGGAGGAAGGGGAAGTCTGTGGGGGTAATGTTAAGACGTTGAAGTGTTTTGAGTCCCAGTGTCTTCGGCCCGTCAGACGGACACAAACAAAAAGAACCGACCCAAGGCGACAGACTTAATTAGAGAGAGGCCGAGAGAGAAGAAGGGATGGCAGACCCATACCTCCTTATTAAGCTGTCTCCCTTGGGATAGAAGGAGGAGGAGAAGGGAGGCATGAAGGAAGGGAGGAGGAGGAGGAGTAGAAAAACAGTGGGGAGTCTGAAGCCAAACACAAGGCCCAGGCACCACCCTTCACCCCCACCCTCATCCCCCTCTTCTGATCGCTCACACAGGTACAAAAGAATCCACACAGGAGGGGTTTCCCATGGCACGCACAGACAGCCATAGACAGGACAGAGCGAGACAGAGGGATGGTAAAGAGCGGGAAACAGATAGAGAAAGAAGGAGATTGAGAGAGAACTCTTTAAGCAGGGGAGCGACCGTTGCTCTTGTAAGCTAGGGAAAGGGCAATAGAGGGGCCATTGTCCTCTCTCTCTGTCTCTCTCTCTCTCTCTCTCTCTCTCATCCTTTTCTTATGAGGACAGCAGAAGGTGGGGGGCAGGTAGGCACGCAAGCAGGTAGGTGGGTGGTGGAGTGAAGGTATGCAGGGAGCCAATGGGGCGTGACTCTTACCCCCTGCCACTGAGCCAAGGGTGAACCTGTAGCCCGATTCTGCCACCTGGACGAGGATGGGGCGGGAGCCGTCACTGCCCAACTGCTGCTCACAGAGTGGGAAAGAGACAGTAAAGAGATTAGTGCAGAAGTGGAACACAAAGAACGTTTCAGACACTTTAATACTGTTTCTCCCATCAAACATTACATGCCACACAACTAATGCCACCACCCTGCAAGCTCAATTACAAGTTATTTTATCAAGCATTGGTCACACCTATATAGTGTTTGACAGCAAGCACTAATTTCATGATAGACATTGGTATACCGTATAGTGGTGATTTAATAAAACTATACTGTAACGAAAGTGGGAGTGGGAATATAGGAGTAGTTGTTTGGACTATGAAAATGGTATTTTTACTTGAAAAACAAATAATGAATTATCAAATTTGTTTATTGTTTTGATTTATTTTTCTTTTGATAGACTAATCAGCTAAATGACTAATATTACAGCAGTAAGTACAATAAAAAGTGATCAGGTAGTTAGTAGTTCAACTTATCAGTTAGTAAACATTGAAAGTAGAAGCTACTGTTAATGAAATTTCAAACTTTGAGTTCGGGTTAGAAATACAGAATTATTAAGCTTATAGGTTTTGAAATTAACAACTGTTGCATAAATTGTTGTTATTAACGACTAATATCTACTGCTGTTTCATTGCACTGAGCTGATAAAGCAACTTTTTGTAACTGTTCTATGCTGTCTGACTAGTATAATTGTTAAACATTGTATAATATATAATTATATGTCCCAAAGTTAATTTACGATGTAATTACACTTTGATGTTTTGACATTTCTTAGACCATTTGTCAAATAAATCTGGAGTAAGTGATCTTATTACACCGTTGTGGTCATCACCATGCTATGCAAAGAGCAGAAGTGTGTTAGTAGCATTAGCCACACAGTAACATTAGCCACACTCCCTCCTCCACCTGAGGTACCTGTTGCCTTGTCTGGTCTGCCCAGCCCTGGCCTCTCGACCCTGGGGAGAGGGGGGGGGGTGGAGTGTTGTAAGTATGTATGTATGTGTGTGGGTGTGTGTGTGTGAGGGGGATGGGAGTCTCTAGAACAGGTCCACCTGTCAGAGTGAACTCCCCCCCCCCCCCAAACTCTACAATTTATCCCCAGAGCTTTCTTCCTGCCCAATTTTGTCCTTCCACTTCTACCATCCTCCTCAGCTCTGTCTCTAAAACTTGGCAATACTAACTGTCAGGATGTTTGAGGGAGAAAGAAGGAACAAGTTAACAGGATATAAAGAGAGAAAAAGCGAACCGACAAACATGTAGAGAAATAAGAGAGAGGGAGAGAGAAAAGTAGATCAAAAAAGGATATGGAGAGAACTAGCAAAAGATGAGAGAGAGCTCCAGCTAGCTGGCGGCCAGCCCCCGAGGCCAAACCACAAGGGCCTAAAGTGGCTCATTGTGGTGGGACTGGCGTCTGTGTAGTGCTGGGCCCCTTTGCTTTCTCCCCTTTGGCCCCCGCCTGCTCCAATATGGCCTGGCCAAGCCTTAACTGTAGCACTGTAACCCACCAGGCAGCACAACTCTGACCAAACAGCTCGGGAAAGAAAACAATCCTCTGCTCATCTGTCTGGCTGTCCATACATCCTTTTTCCTCTTCTTCATTACAAATTGCTCTTGTTTGCTGCTGCAAAGTCTCTTCACATCTATTATTTGCAACTTGAAGCATGATTGAGGTTCATCAGAGCTTGAGGATGGGTCTGCTTGTCTTTATTTCCCTGGATTTGTGAGTTTTGCGTGTATGTTTTTTTAAGACATCAACCACATGTCAGGGAGAGGTCTAGTGGTGTTTTCTCTCAAGAGAGCCTCTTTAAGTTTACTGTAAGTCTGTGATGGGAAGTTACTTGGACACAACTTGGTTTGAACCTTGGTATGAACTTTTGAAAATGAGCAGGGCTGACGAGTTTTGGCCAACTGGCATTTGGGGGCAAACTTTCCACTTTATATCTGACAAAACGTGTTTGGATCTGTGTCTCCTGTCTTTTGTTTTTCTTTCACTCAAACACAAGTCTAAAACTACTTCTCAATGAATGAATGGTGTAATTCATGCTAAAATTAAAAATCAAACAGATGCTTTTGTTTGGGGGGTTAATTACTTGTGAACAGGAGATATCATTATCCTTAATTATATTAAAAATATTAAGTAATCTGCATGGTGACATCTAGCCCTAGAGAATGTACTGAGATGAGAAAGAGCTTCCAGTGTGGAAGAGGAAACCAAACACATCAACAAGTCTTCATAATCTGTACCTGTCTCTGGACCTCAGCCAAGTTGTAGGGCAGGGCGCCTTCCTCCAGTGGAGCGATGTTCTCAATGTCCACTAAACCAACACGTCTGATGAAGAGAGAGAATGGAGAGAGTGAGAAGTAACTTTCAACTGTTGTAAAAACTCTCAGAGGATTATAATATTTAATCAATGCATCACCGAGTCTGTGACCAGCCTGACCACTCTGTCAGGCTGAAGTTACCGAAAGTTTACGGAAACTTTGCCATTGTTCCATGTCAAAATCTAAAAATCCAGACCTGTGCTTGGAATGATTGAGTAAGACAACCAACGTATAGGAACTGACTCCCACTCCTTTATCCCTTCATCCAAATACAACAAAGATGTTAAACCTTTGGATGTAAATCTACTGCCTTTCTGAGTATTTCCATTGCATCTTTATGACGGACCCAGATTTCCCAGGCTAAGAGAACGGGGAACGCCAAATCCTCCCCCCCACCCACACCCGTCTCCTCTGAATATTGGGGCTATTATCTCCCGCATCTCCAATCAAGGGGAGTGGAGAGGGCTATTAAAGTATCCCATTGCCCAGAAATAATAATCAGGTGGTGTCTCAGGCCGGGGTTAGGAATTATGAGTGCACTGGTCGGGCCGCGAGGCAGACGCAAAGGAAGTGGGGGAATGTGAGACGCATACAGTTGTTGTGTGCCACGGATCATAGGGACTGGAGTTGCCCTTTTTTTAAGATAAATGCGAGTTTGGATTGGTTTTGGACTGAAAAAGGATTCTCTGGCACTGATGTAGTCATGTCTTGATTCTTTTGATCCTGTGCAGAGACGTTTGAGAGGGAAGAAAGCGCTCGTCTCTCTGAGGTATTGACCCTGGGGCTAAAGGTGCGCTTTGTAGGACAAGTGTGGTATAGACTTACTCTGCACAACTCCTTGACTAACTGATGCTATTCCTCCATTACTGCCTATTTGCCTGTTCTCAGTGAAACACGCAATGAATGCCTATACATGCCATCACATCCACCACATCACCAGTGATTATTTCCTCAGAGATCATATTATCTACCCCAAGACTACAATGAATATAGAAAAGCAAAAGTCACAATATCAGTATCAAAAGACTGTCATAATATCCAAATTAAGGTATTAAATCAAAATCATTTTTGAAGCTTCAGGGATGTTTGTTTGCCTGTGTGTGTGCTTGTGGCTGTCTTACCCACGGGGGTCTGACAGGTCAGCCAGCTGAAAGAGGATGTCGACTTCCATGGGTGTCACCTGGCCAAACCTCTGAGCTGCAACAATGAATTCCTCTACAAAGAAAGAGAGATCACACCTTATGATACAAACCAAAATTTAGAAATATGCCATTAATGTCTCAATTGCAAATCTACCCATTTTCCATGTGCCTATCAGTGTCCAGGTCATAGTGGCAGCAAACTCAGCAACAGTCAAAACATTTTCCTCTTTGGCCACATCCTCTAGCTCGACCTGAGGGATCCCAAGGTATTCCAAAGCCAGATGGGATATATATAATTCCTCCAATGTGCTTTGGGTGTGGGGACCTCCACTGCAATCCGCAATCTCCAAACTCCTTCTGGATGTCTGAGCTCTCAGATACAAACTCAAAACTCATGACCACTGGTACAGGAACGTAGATTGTAACTCGAGAGCCCGGCTTTCAGGCCCAGTTCTCTTGGCACCATGGGAGTACAAGGGTACAACTTCCACAAGACTGTAGACGGGGCACCAATCTGGCTCCATTTACCCTCACTTACATCCTTATATCTCAAACTCCTTAACTCCAGGCAGCAACTCTCTCTTAACTCAAAGCGGAGAATTGGTCTATTTCAAGCCTAAAATTATGACGTTCTGACAAGGATCCTAACAGCTGCAGAGTTGGCTGCAAACTGCCCCAGTGCACACTGGAGGCCATCAGCAAAGAAAAATGCCATTGGGATGTCACCAAACTGAATACTCTCTAACAGAATAAGTGAAGAGGAACCCAAAGCCCACCAAGAACATGTCTGAGGAGACACAACTCTCAGTGCGGTTATAAAAGGACTGGGTGGCTTTGATCAGCAGCCCTTGTACCGTATTTTGTGCAAGCAGTTTTTATGCAAGGGTGAATAGCTGGTTCCAAAACCAGGATAGGATATGCATTGCTCCTGCAAAATCCAAGGCTTAGTAAATGGTGATTTTATAATTCCATCCAAAAAAACATGACACTTCATTCATCCACTTCAGTTGGTTTGTCAGGGCTTTGGTATAAAGCAGCAAAGCAAATTTGGCCTTGAGTAAATGAAAATGTTTTAATTTCATTGTTTTAATGTTCACTTTGTCATGATATATTTTCATTACTGTGTGATATTTTACACACTGCCACTGCAACATGAAAATAAGTCAAAATATGTAGTACTGAGCTGAATGAATCACCTACAGCCACAATCTGTTATCACAAACAAGAGCTATTTCCTGTGACTGACAGTTGTGACTGACATCCCTTTTATTCTTTTATTAACCGTTCACGATACTGCATCATAGACTCAGTATCATCAATTGATATTATGTTACATACAATGCACCAGCATAATATGATAAAGTGTGCATTCACACGTTTACTGATATTAACATTTACAGTTAGATGCATTGTTTGCTCATTACACAATTCAATATTTTTCATTTCCATGTTCCCAAAACCTACCATATATATATATCAGTCAGTCATTTTCTGTGTTTCCCAGAACAACTTTTGACAACTCAGAAACAGATTTGCTACTTTTAATCTACAGTGAGCATTTTTTATCTGTATTCAAACAGATGCATCATGCAAGTTGAGAAACTGCATTTCATTGTGCACTTCACTCCTGTCACTGAAGAGGAACACAAACATTAAGGAATGAGATTGATAAATTGGCCCTGGCATACAGGACTTAATGCCAGCACAAGTTTTAAATGTTGCGCTATTTTACGATATTCCCCTAAAGCTCTGTCACTCACACCAGTTACCTTCTGTGACAGGGTTGTAACTTACAAGAGAGAAGTGTCAAAGCATGTTAAATTCATCATAAAAAAATAGAATAGAAAATATGGCCACGGAGAGTTATGGACTTCAAGAGTTCTTCTGAGGCAGCCGTAACTTGAGACCTGCTCTATTGTTGGCGGAATAAAGAACAGGTTGACTGTAGGCTGGCTTACAGTGGAGGAGTCAGCATTGTTTGACCCGCTTTATTCAAAGAGCAGCAGGCTGGGGTTGTGACAAAGTCGTCCTACACTGGAGCCATTCACCCCACTGAGGCTCAGCTTACCCCTGAGGCATGCTCTCTTTCTCTCTCTCTCACACCACACACAGCACACACACACACACACACACACATATCCATGGGTACATGCAGGTAATGCTGACAAGCATGTGAGAGAGCATACATACACAAGAATAAACTCTCTCTTTCTCTCTCACTCACACACACGCAGACATACTCAGACATAGACAGAGTTCTGTCTGGGGAGATCACAGATCACAATGCTGATAACCTGTTTACCTATAGCCTGTAGTCATCACTACACACATGCACACATACACACATGACTGACCTCTATACACATTTTATAATTACCTGCCTCTCTGTGAAGTGATCTAGTCCATAGAGTATTAAAATGATAAGTATAGCTGGACATAGCTGCTGACATTTTCGGACCAACACTTACTGACACAACTTAGACTAAGAGCATTTAAACAGCTAAATATCACAGAGTTATTAAAATTAAACTCTTCCTACCATGCTTTGTTCAGGCAATTGGTGCTCTGTTGTTAATGAGTGCCTAATGGAGGGCTGTTCAAAGTATTATAATAATAATTGTTATTTATACAGCAATTTTGAAAACAATTACAAAGTGCATTACAAATGGTTTAAAAAAAGAGAAGAACTTAAAAAAAATAACTTTAACAGCAGTCTACAGCCATGCCAGCAGATCTGTGCGGCCGTACTTAGAGACAGCTGTGCTTTGACCTCAATGCTAATGTCAGCGTGCTAACATTTTCCCAATGTCAATGCTAACATGCTGTATGTTACGTGATGCACTGAACACAAAGTACAGCTGGGGCTGAATTGAATGTTAATATATTTGCAGGTATTTGGACATGACACTAGATGGGACCATCAAAGTTTTTATCCTGAGAAAATAGGAATGTTTCACAGAATTTTAAAGGAATCTTTTCAATAGTCAGTCAGTCAGGGGATCACCAAAGTCAATAGGCTTCATCCACAGGGGACCCCAAATTTCTGTACAGAATTTTATGGTAATCCATTCTATATCTATTGAGATATTTCAGTCTGGACCAAAGTAGTGGACAGACTGGCCGACATCACGATGCCTAAAAACATGATCACTGCTATTTACGTTTTAGAACAATCATTGGTGTCGTTCCCAAAGAAAGAACTAAACTGGCTCATATATCATCAGTTCTGGTGCTCTCTAGTACAGATGCATTTACAGTAATATGTGTTAACACATATACTTCATCAACACACACCTGATGCACATGTTCACAGTCATGATTTTAAAAGGTGTGTTCTGTAAAGGTTTTCTGTGCACGTACGCACACAAACACTCGTGTACACTCCCTTTTGTGTAGGCGTTAAGCTCTGTAATGGCATCCCCAAGGCAAAACAGTGGCCTTGCTGCACATACGGAATCAATCAGGATTATTACACATGTGTGCACACTTGGCTGTGTTAATGTATCTGAGTGCTTGTGTGTATGTGAGAAATGTTTGAAATGGTGCGTTACAAAACGTTATGCACGCACTCGATACGTGCGGGTGTGTGTACAGTATGTGTTTGTCGGCCAGCCCCGCCAGTAGTACATGGAGCCGAGCACTTGCAGTCCCCAGGGAGGCCTTAATGACTCGGGGAGTGGAGGGTGGATGGGTGGTGGCTGTGGAGGTCTGGCTGGCTACGGGCCACCGTGGGTCGAGCCAAACCCTGCCTTGGTGTACCCATGGTGGGAACAGCCTGGGGAGCGTACGGGCTCTTGGTCTGGGTCGGCTATGGTCCACACCCCTGATAAGGCTTCAGATAGCATCATAAGGCTACACTATAGGCCCTGGGCCATGGGGAGAGAGGTCAGAATGGTTTCTTAAAGACGACTAAAGCAGGAGAGAGGGAAGCAGAAAGAAAGAGACGAAAAAAGGGAAAGAGAAAGGGAAAGCAAACTAGGCTTGCTGCCAAGTACTAAGGAAAGGAATGAGAGACAGCAAGTGGGGCAAGCTAGTGAGACAGATAAGGATTGAAAGAAACTAACCATGGGAGACAGAAAGACAGAGAAAATGTCTGAAAAAGACAAAAGCTGATCAATCAATAGATAAAAATACCTTGTAGCTTCACATTTTTGCTCATTAAATGGTTTTAATTATCTAACATGCACTGAATCTACATACCTCATCCTCAAAAAAGTACGTGATTTTGACAAAAGCAAGGGTTCCTCATTTTTGCCTGTGTTTTAAAGAATTAAAAATCTCATTATACACCAAAAACACCCCAGGACAAATAAAGCAGTCCTCAGATCAGTGCCAGGATGTCTAATAGACAAGACAAGCTCCATCAGGGATTGTGGGTATGGAGTACGTGTGCTGGGTCGGATCCAGGATGCCCATTTAAATGCCACCGGGAAGGAAGAAAACCAAACAAAAACAAGTTTCCACCCTCCCCTTAACACATACACATACAGTGCATCCTCTCATTTGTTTTGTGAGTGTGTGTCCTGTATGCTGTCCGTCTTATTGCACTGCAGGTAGAGAACATCAGTGCATAAGTGCATACGTATAAATGTTGCGTTCTGACTGCCTGTGTTTGTTGTTTGTTCTTGAGTTTTCATGGGGGGATTTTTTTCTCCCGAGGTACCTTTGGTGACTTCCACATCTCGGCGGTGGCCAGCCAGGGTGCTGTAGATCTTTCTGATCAGCTCCATGTTGTTGAGAAGCGAATTGAAGCCGTTGAAGTATGAGAAGCTGACCTGGTGAGACGTGCTGCCACCCGCAACCTGGGCAAGGACGGAGACACGTATTTTAACATGCAATAAAGTCTGATGATACACAAACACAATCACACTACACTCCAAACTGAGTAAATGCTTGAGAGGTGAGTGTAGAAGTAATGATTATGTGTACGTCCCCACAGAAGAAACGTGCTAAAACATCACGTGAGGAGAAAATCTTGACAAACACCAGTGGTTAATCATCAACGCTCCTCTTTACCATCGCTCCAAGGGGAGAAGTAAACCTGTTTCAACCATTTCTTTTTCCATCACACAACGAACAGTCTGAGGGAGTTTAATTAACTTTCTTTATGAGGTGGGGGAAGTGGTAAAAGAACAGAAAATAGAAAAAAGGTAAAGGATTAAAAATAGACGCTGGGCTCTTGAGGACATTCCAGACTGTACACAAACTGTTTTATGTTAACCAGAATCCCATCTTTATTAAATCAGGCTCTCGGAGCTCCTAGAGGAGCAGCTCTAACTGCTGTCTGTTTAGAAATGTGTCTTCAAGTACATAAGTTCATAAATGTTGCCTGTTTTGGGTAGCTTAAGCCAGAGTATCAGATGAGCCTCGAGGCTTTGCAGCTCTTAACAGTGTTGAGGGATGAGGCAATAGAAAATGTAGAGCTTCCTTTCACTAGATGGCACTGTTTGCTTTACAGACGCATTCAGGGAGGTTGCTTACAGCTCACTGTGTTTGCAACAAGCGGTGGAAGCTCTGGCTTGGGTGAAACTGCCCTAACAGAGAGACACTTTTGTATCTGTTAATATCTATGAGCCTATAGACATGGATCTTCCCACCATTTAAAACAAAGTCTTTCACAGAAGGCGAGAGGAGAACGATATCTGGGTGAAAGTGTGGTGCTAATCATTTGCCATGTTTGGTGAGTGAATAAAAGTTTGATGTTTCACTGTTTGTGTTCCGGCATTACACTGCCTTTAATGTGTCGGTGGTGTTTATGGGGTTTTTGATATATGTGTGTGTGTGTGTTTGTGTATGTGAGAGTTTACTAACAGCACACCAAGATGTCTGGTCGGTGAGGTAAACACAGCGGAGAAAATGACAGAGTCTACAAGGTGTTTATGAAATGGGGCAAGACATGGACACAGACACAAGACGCACACACGCGCAACAAAAACACTGACACACATAAAGGAAAGACAAGTAACAAAAAAGACAAACATCTCAGAGTTCAAAACAAATAGAGTACACGCGCACAGCTGCTTGCACACAAACACACAGGCAAAGATGATGGACTGTAAAGCTCCAGTCGCCATCTATCTCTGTCTCTATCTTCCCATTCAGCTGGCCTGCTTGGCTTTGACACTGCCAGAGAGGTTAGACTTAATGACATGTTGGGAGAGAGACAGAGACACAGGGGAGGGAGAAAGAGAGAGAGGGGTGGTTGAGAGAGAGAGGGGGGGAGAAAAAAATGAAGGGAAAGAAGGAGAGAGAGGATGGATAAGAGGTGAAAAAAGTAAAGGAGAAGAAAGAACGAGGGATGGACAGCTGGAAGGGAAAGAGAAAAGCCACAGTGTTTGGTTGTGGGGGTGTGAGAGAAAGAAGCGAACACAGGGAGGAGAAAAGACGAGAAAGAAGAGGTGAGACGGAAGAAAACAGCCTTGCCTTTAACTCTTTTATGGAGAATGGAGTAATGTTAGGTTGCTAGCCTTCTTAGCTGGCATTAGCAACTGAATCAGTATAAAGTATATATACGTAGGGGCGCTCCTCCATTTCTTACATTTCAAAGCGTGCATCTTTTTACATTTGAGCATACACAGATTTTGTTAAACACATATACATTAAAGAATCACAACACTGCTAATACATAATGAATATAGATGTACATTTACCTGTACAGTGATAGACAATGCAGCTAAGATGTGAATTATGGTAATCAAATTATCATTTTTTACAACAATTTCTTCATAACATATAATGACAAAGCATCGTAACTCCCAGGTGACAGATCTCACTATTTTTTCCCAGCCTCGCTTTGGCTCTTGTGGTCGACAATAAAACAAGTAGAGGAGAGAAGCTCAGAGCCAAACAAAAACCCACCGCCACGAGGCATTCCTCCACGAAGGGTGTGAGCATGTGCGGCCGGATGGTGACCATGATGTCCCTGAAGTCCAGGGCTGACACAGAGCCGCTGTGGGCTTGGTCCCGCTGGATGAAAGCCTGCCGCGCATGTTCCAGCTGCATCTCCTATGGAAGGGAGAGGAGAGAAGAAAGGAGGGAAGTTTAGGTGTTAGATTATATAGTAAATGCATATTATTGTGCACATATGTGGGTCATACACCTCTTTAAGTTGCCTTCATAAGTTAAAATCCACATAAACTCACTCATATAAACACGTATGCATAAAATCACTGCATTTGCTTTGATGGGCCCCCTGGTGCCGTCTCCCCCTCTCAGTTACGGGGGGAGCCAGCGTTTGGCCAGGCTTTTTACTCTCGTCTCCTCTCCCAATAGCGGCTTGCCCACTGTGAGGCGTCGCTTGGGCTTTTCACACCCTCCCCAAATCCCCATTAAACCCACTTGAGGGAGAAACATACAAACACACACACACACACAGGCGTGCACACACAGGCAAGTCGGCTAATCACCCAACTGCTCACTTTGTCTCTCTTCTTGTGCACACGTACACACAAAAGGTCCACAGGGACAAGAGCAGGCTGTGGTGGGGACAGATCCCACAAGGCCTTTGAAATTAGCAGCCATTATCGGTACCTGCAACCACAAGTCTACAGAGAGGGGCTGTAAACAAACCGCTGCCACCGATGCTTCCTCTGTCTTACAACAAGAAACTCGGTTAGAGCCCAAGACAGGGATATCAGAACAATAATAGTCCACAAAGAGTCATTGTGAACAGCTACAGGCTTGAGGACAGCGAGCTTAACTAGTTGGTTTGGCTGTTGACTCACTTGCAGTGTATCATGGCCTTGTGGAAAAATCTTTAGAGGACGAGGAAGAGGTTTCTCACATAATGGTGACACAATACCAAGAGCCTAAATGACCAATTCAAGCTTACTTACTTTTAAGTCCATATCAACAAACATTCATGCAAGACTTTTTAAGAGCTTTTCTGAAATTCTCTTATTAAATTTCCCACATACACTTAGAGCTGAAACAATTTGTCAATTATTGGATTGACAGAAATTAATCAACAATTAAAAATGAATGATCAATTATTCTTAATTCACTGTTTCCTGCTGTTCCAGGTTCTGTGATAGTAAACTGAATATCTTTGGGTTTTGGACTGTTGGTTGGGTGAAGCAAGCAATTGGAATATGTCAACTTGAAGGTTTAGATATTGTGACAAGCATTTTTCACTATTTTCTGATGTTCTATAAACCAAACGATAATACGAAATACAAAATAATCATCAGATTAATTGATAATGAAAATAATCATCAGTTGTAGCCCTACATGCATGCAGTACAAGACTATATCTGAGTCTATTTAAAAAGTTCAACTTATTTATAAAGTTAATTTATTACACACATAATCCCATAAATATCCTAAAACAAACAAAAGAAAATCTGATAGGAACACATAAAAAGAACAAAAATATGTCAAAATTTTGTGTGTACGTACAATCATGTCAGGGAAAACATTTTTAAATGACGTCTCTTAAAGCAAGTACTGGCTAGTAGTTTTAGTACAATACGTAACATAGCAATTCAGTTCAAAATACATGATTATCAATTTGTCCAAGAAGAATGGACATTCTTTTTGAAGCCACACGCGTCGGACAAAAAATGCTGAAGGGGGACTGATTAAATCTTGAACATGCATGGCATTATTCAACTGATTGATTCAGATGTTATTGTTATAAATGGAACTCAAAAAAGTGGTATTACAACAACAAAAAACCCTATGAGGCTATGACTTATTGTTGTGTTGAATTTGAGTGATATTTCACTGACAGCATAACTGATCGAACTCTAAATTTGCGGCGCCCAAGAGAAACGACTGGGGAAGAGTGACATTTACACAAAGCTGAGTGGAGACCGGAGGGGAGTAAGAATAGACATTGTAACAAAAGAGCCAGATTTGCAAAAACAGCAAATGTAGCAGCCATGTGTCAGTATCACCTATGAGCACAGCAGGGGCTCCGGAGAGTGTATAAGTGAAAGGAAGGCAAGGAAACGAAGACAGATTGACACACGTAAACACTCCCAAAGTAAATAAGGTGAGATATTTTGGTGTCAGCATCTTGAGTGTCGTGACTCACTTCTCCGGTCGGTTGTGAGTAGGTCAAAACACTTTGGTGTGAAATAAACTGGGAAAGAGGGAAGGGAGGAGGAGAGTTTTAAAGTCAAAACAAAAACTGAAAGTGAAGAAGATAATGTTTTGCATGCATGAGTGTGCACATGTGCAAAAATAAGAGCAAGCGTTTATCTGTGCGTTTGTGTCCATCTAAAAAGAAATTAGATCCTGTTTCTCTGGACAAAAGTCTAAAAAAGCCACACACGCCAACCACACAGCAACAAAACAACTGTGGTCCAAGGGATGGAGCAGTTTATAGTCTCAACCTCTTAAAACCTTAACTTGTTGCAACTGTATGAGTGTTGCAGGGACATGGTTTTTATTTGGGAGGGGAGTGAGGGAGGTAGGAGACATAAAGCTGGGGGCTTAAGACAGCCAACAACCGCCGAGGCATTTGCAGTCGCTTTAATTGTCCTTGGAGGAGAATAAAAATACATGAAAAGCCACCTCTGTTTGTTTTCAACGGCTGTGATTTCCCCCCTCTCCTCTCTTCAAAACTTAAACAATAGATATGAGTGGAGCTGGATTGTTCCTCTCTTTTCCCAATCTCTGCTTCTCATCAGCACAGGGCTAAAACTATTACAAGGAGAAGCTTAAGCACAACTGCTATTTACATGTGTGCCAGTGAGCCCTCTACACAGTGATGTTAAGGGCTGCCCACTCATTCTTGGGAGAGTCAAACATATAATTGGGACTTAAATCAGAGAAATGCCAACAATTCACTTTTTTTTGAGAGCTTAGGGAAGACGTGGGACATGTGGTGTCCCCTTCGTGTAATTCAAGCCCTTTACTTGCCAGGGATTTATAATATGTGCTACTATGTGCCACTATTTGCCACTTCTCTGGACATCGGTAATACCATTGCCAGAGACAACACCACACTGACAGTGCGAGCTGAGCCTTGGCCGGCGTCCACGCGTGAGACGGGAAAAATGCATGTAATTGGTGAGAATCTCTGGCTTCCATCAAGACAGTAATTGGCCAGAGAGAGCCCTTGTGAGAAATATGCGGTGCAAACGTTTTCCCTGATAATCCCATCTTGTGAGCATCTGGCAGTGGCGTGGTTACAATGGCAGAAAAACACAATAAACACATGCATGTATGGCAGGAAGAGGGGTAAATAAAGGATGGGAACATTCTTGGAGGGGCGGGGGGGCTCGGTGGTAGGGAATTATAAAAATAATAAAAACAAATATTTAGAAGATAGTGTGTGTGTGTGTGTGTGTGTGTGTGTAAGAGTGTGTGCTGGTTTTCATAATTTTTTTAGCTGCGCAGTGTACTTTTGTTTCTGGCTGACATTTACGAATGATCTGTCTGTTAATAAAAATATCATAACAACGCTGGGTAGTAGTGCAATCACAAAGTATGTAGTAATTGCACGGGTTTAAATTCTGATTCAGGAAATGTTGTGCCTATCCTAATTGCCCTGTCATCAATCACTGAAGCAGCTGATAACACACTGTAACTGCCAATATCTGAATTTTACTTGTACCTCACTACTATAATTGCAGTTAGTAACACACCATCGCAGAGATATTAATGTGTCTTATTCTTTCATAACACTTTCATGAAACCTACAATAGCTTTAGACCTCTCAAGTGAAAATATTTATAATACTGATAATATTTTTATTTAATGCATATCAGTAGACCAGTGAAACAAGTGCTAAAGGATGAAATGCAGGGCAGTATTTGCAGCACTTAAAATACATTTGCTGTTGAACATCCCTTACCCTTACCTACACAGCGAGGCATCTTACAATAACACAGAATTCACTTTCCCTTTTCATTTATTAAGGCATGAATCAAAAGCTATGAGAAATGATCAAATACAGAGAGTGTAAGCAGGAAATGTGCATTTCATATTGAGCAATGAGTGCGGCTGGCTGCTGGCCTGCTGCAGTGAGGAGCTGGAAACCACTGAGTGACTGACTGGGAGAGAAACGGGCACGCTGTCAATGCAAAAGTACAGCGTCCACTGGCCACAACGCCACAGACTTGCACTCATGCACACACGCACACATACACACGGACAAAAACAAGCACAAACACAGACATAAACACGGTGGACAAAGCCTGCACGCCACTGTGCACACATACAGTAAAGCAGATAAGGAAGATAAACCCACACACATAGAACCATGCATATGTGTATACACACACACATACAGTATGTTCAAACATATGCACACACACAAGGACGCACGCACATATAACAATGTCCCAATATCCATGCGCTGCTGCCCACTGTATGTAAGCCATCTGGTCTAAGTTAAGTGTAATATAAAAAGCTCATTCAGATACATGGTGAGTGTGGATGCAAACTTGGCACAACTTAGGCCTCTCTCCCACCCCCTCCACCACCTCTCCCTGCTTAGGCCTGATTTAAGTCTAGACATCATATTGGAAAATGGCTCACACACCACAAATACACTAGGAATATTCCAGCTATACTATTTATGGAGGTAGAACTGCGTCTCTACCTGCTTCAGAGTTGGTGGAGTGGAGTAATGCTAGGTGTACGTCAGCTAATGGAAAACAAATGCAGAAAATGTCCCAAATATATAACCTCAGTGTTTCATTAATGACTAATCTGCTCAATATGGAGGGCTGTGTTTGAGAGGGAAAGGAACAGCGAAAACCTGCGTGCATTTGCATTGCGCACACATTCGTCCGACCGAGCTTAGATAAGTATCTGACAATAGAGTTACATGACAGAATTATCGGAACAGCCTGTAAACAATATGTGAGAACAAGGTAGAGGGTAGAGGCACATAATGGGTTGATAAGGTTTTAATGACTGTCATTGATGGTCAACTGGATGATGGAAATAGAAACAATTAGACTTTACTTAGAGAGATCAACAAAAAGCGCCAAAAACAGGAAGACAAGGAGGAAAAACAAAGACAATGGGGGAAAATGGCATGTGTGAGATGAGGGGAGCAGGTGATCTGCACAAAACCTACCAGGAGAAACTGGGTGAATTCTCCATAGCTGAGCTGTTTGTCCCTCTGTGTGCCAAAGTGCAGCCGTATGAACTCAGAGTCCCAGTTAAAGGGGATGTGCTGGTGGATGGTGGTCTGGTTGAAGACCTGCTTCACATCCTCTGCAACGGAGACAAAAAAAAAAAGATGCTTTAATTATGACTGAATGATGACAAGTTGCTGTTGACAGCCTAATAACAAGATGCAACAACTCAATACAGAAGTGTACCACAAGCAATGCCTGCAGTGGTGGAGGAAGTATTTTATATAGTAAAAACACAAAAGAGTAATAAAAAATAACAAGTCCTGCATTCAAAAAATTGACACAAGCAATTTTAGTAGTAACTTTTGTAAAATGTATGAAAGTAAATGCATTTGTTATGCAGACAAACAGCTCATGTGATTATTATTTATCAGATCAGATTATTGTTACTTATGCATTAATGTG